AGCATTAGGCTGCGGGTGTGCGTGTGTGCGTGTGTGTGTGTGTGCGGCTGCACGAGGAGATAAAGTATCTATCTATCTATTGGCGAAACCTCTAGCGATCAGAGTTATTGTGCCTGCACTATAATAAACAATTTAATGGGAAGACAAAGGCATGCAACTGTGGACTTTGAATCCGAAATCTTAGCTAGTTTTTCAATGAACTCTGCTCGGGTTGCTCGCAGTGTAGGAAATAAATTCGGCATTAGCCACTTCCCCGCCTGCAGCCAGCAGCTGCTGAGCCACTTGGTCATCGCTTCGCCGGCTATTAACATACAATTATGCCGAAATGCCAATCAAATGCAGACAGAAGCGGAACGGACGTGCCCCGTCCGAGTTCAAGTCCGAGTATGAAGCCCTGCTGCCCTTCACCACTCCAGCCCGGTTGGAGGAGAGGATTGCCCGTGTCCTTGGTCCTTGGCCCTCGACTTGGCCATTTATCATGGTAATAGGCGAACGCGTGCGGGAATCGTTGTTTTGATTTAACGATCCCGTTTTGCTGCAATCAAAGTATCACAGACACATGAATGAGCCGGCCATAAAAAGCGAAATAAAATAAATAAAAACACTCCGGCGTCTTTATCGACCAGCCAGGGGAAATCGGCCAAGGCGTACTTTTTATTATTTAGTTTTAATATCCACAAGAAATTACATTACTTAATTTAATGCTGTTACGGGTGCTTTGTACGCACAAATACCTTTCACTGAACAATGTTAGCTCGGCTTTTCTACTTCCAGAGCTTCTGTAACCGCAGTGACCTTGCGAATCTGCTGGCAAAAGTGTGCCAAAATAAAGTGCTCGGCAGTGCTTTATGATTATGAGGAAAGGCTTTTCCAGGATGCAAGACAAGGGAAATCCGTTGCACGTGTCCTGCGAGTCCTGTGCGTCAGTGTGGCGCTCGAATGTATCTAGGTTGCGCAATGCCCCGATTTGAGATACATTTCGACTGCGAGTACATTGTGCAAAGACGCAGCTGCACGTTATGATAAGTACGTGTATTGGCAACAAAGTGGTGAATGCAGCTACCCACCTGTGCGAAAGGTGATTGCATCGAGTTTATGCTGCCATAATGCCATTTGTGATGAGTGCACTTTTCATCGCTAAAACCACTTTTACAACAGCTCACTGCTGCCATCTGGATTTTCTGGAGTTCTTGAGGCCGCTACATAGTTGCCCTTAACGTTGCAATTTAATTATAATTATACTGCGCACAATGCGAAACGCCCACGCATTTGCAAGCACTTGAGGCAAATTTTCATCGCTTCCTTTCCGGAAAATCTCCGCTCTTATCCAGCTCTATCTGTGTGCGCAGCGGCAAATTGAAAACTCTTAATGTCGTTTCTGATTTGATCAGGGCACCTCGTTAGTTTGAGCCCGCGGCGAAAGGGAAGGCAGCCAGTTGGCAACTGCTAACTGATAATTTCATTATTACATGTGATATGCAGCGGGATGCTGTGTGCATGTGTGCGTGTGTGCGTGTGTGTGCGTTTGAGTGTGTGGGTGTGGCCAATCATCAGCTTGGATTTCCATTTTTCCCGCTTGTTGCCTTGGGTGCCATAGATATGTGTACGTATGTGTGTGTAGGTAGCAATTTCCTCTCTCCCCGCGTGTGTGTGTGTGTGGTGTCTTTGTGTGCGCTGCTATTATATAGATCGAAAATTGTTGCTAAAGTCACTGGTGCTGTCGTAATTTCATAAATTGCGTAATTGCATTGGCGCAGGCGGAAAGGGAAAAGCTGAAAGGGAGAGAAAAAAGCTGCGGTGGAAATGCTTGATTAAAAATAACTTTTCCCAAATGACGTCTAATTTGCATCGGTCTCAAGCGAAAGCAAAGGCGAAAGAAATAGAAACTACACTCGTATCACAAAGATAAACTGCTTGTTTTCCATTAAACCTAAGCCTTTCCGTTTGCGTCACTTGCATGTGATGCGGAATATTTTGTAGCATACTTTCGGGCGCATTAATTGGTGCATTCGTTAGCATGCGCACAAAACAAGCATACTTATTCATTATTTGTCGAATCAATTTAATTGATACAGAAAATAATATAGAAGAGCACATTACCTTTCCCTGGCTTGTTGGCAAGAACCAAAACCACAATTAGGGCGCAGCCAACCGAACTGAAGATGGCCTCGCCTTTTGTTAACCGAATGCACTCGGTTTCCACATCGAGTGTATATATTATTTACCATACATGTACTTCATGTACTTGAGTTATCACCAAAACGGTATGCAAACGTAAATTTCCTTGGCATTTTGACTACGTGGCCATTGGTCTACGTGCCAATCCAATTTCCTCGGCACATTGACTGTGGCTTTTCCTTGGCACGCTTTCAATTCGAGTTTGCCGACATCGAAATGCAAAGAAAGCACACACACACACACACACAGCAGGGAAAACAATTGGGGTGCCAGTACCACGGGACCCCTGCACCTGTAACTGGCTTTTCCGACATGGCAGACAACTTTTCAGAGCGGCGCCAGCAGAGCGGAGCGTTTACATGAGTGGCAAGTAGGGGTCGTAAATCGTTGCAAATCGAACTCGGTGTTCGTGGACCACCTGGCCAAATAAATTGATCAAAAATCACGCGGAGAAAATTGCTTTAAAATGTGCAGCGGCAGCTGAATTCGGCGATGAGCAGATACTGAAGATGAAGTGGAAAAGTCGCAGGGAGCTTGTGAAAAGTGAGCGCAATTCAGCAGGGGAAGCGGGCCAATGAAATGCCAATTAAATTGATTTGAAACTCAACGTTTTTTTCTTTTTTGTTTTCCATACACACGGGCAGGTCATTATTGGGATCTATAGGAAAATGTATTTTCGTTGATTGATTGACGGATTGATTGGCAATTCATTAGCATAAATTACCCGCAGAAACCGAGCTTAAAACGGCAGTCCCACCAGCGAAGTTTAATGCCCTGGAAACCAGTTATACTTCACGTCCTAATAATATTTTCATTTCAAGTAAATTCGTTTACAACATCATTGAAAGCTGTCGAAGAATGCGCACCACATCTGAGATGACAGCGAGCTTACAAATACGAGATGAGCCCCCAGACAAAGATACAGACAAAGATACAGATAGCAAATAAAGGATATTTAAAGAATGGAGCCAAGGACATCCTGTTGCACTTGGCCCATTGATTGATGACGTTGGCACTTGAGTGCACACGATAATCATTTATAAGGCGCATAAATGTTCTGTGCCCCGGGGGAAAAGCTGGAAAAGCTGGAAAATCCGGGGGGCAATGGGGGTGGTTGTCAGATGGCGCTGGCTGGCGGCTAAAAAGCACCCAAAGATGAAGGGCATATCAGATTCAAATTCACTTGGCAGATATGCTGAGGTCGTTGCTATTTTGGGGTATTTCGGTGCTCGCGAGGCGTGATGAGGGGCTTGGGATTCGGGGGTTCTTGGTCTTGTCACGTCAGCTGCAGAGTCTGACAGCCACTGCACGAAATTTGCATTCAAATCGAGCCGTGTAGCTGGGCAACTCAGTATCTGTATCTGACAGATACCCAGCTGGCACACTTCTTTGTCGAGGTTGAGAAATGGCTCCGGCACAACTTGCCGCTTTCTTTCGAACTTCCTCCAAAGTGCCTGAAACTAATTATCTGCCTGCTCTCTGTCTATCTGCCTGCAAACGGTTACTCCAACTCTCGACTAATTGGTCAAGTTAAAGCCAAGTTTGTCATTACTAAAGAGCTCCAACGGAGTCTGCATCTGGAGTTTTAAAGCCAGAATACTCCCTAATAGCTCACATGTCGCTCCCTTGGTCCTGCTACCCGTTCTCCTGTCGCCAAAGCAAACAAAATCCCGCTGATGCAGCAGCTGGCAATTACAGCGAATGCTTTCCTAATTAGTTACACCCACATTTCCAATCCCTCCCCGCACCGCTGCCCCATAACACTGGGTGGAAAAGCGATGGAAAATGCCCGAATGCGTAGCGAAAACCCAGCCATGTGCATGAATCGCAGGCGAGATATATCACTAAACAATGTAACGTGCCACTGAGTATAAGCTAAAAACTATTTAGATATTTTTGCTAATATTCAAATTAGTGCTCAAAGTGCTTGAGGGGCTCATTCATCATTCTGCGTACCTATTGAACTCAAAGTCTTAAGGAAATCAAAGAAATGTCCATAGGTAATCATAATTTTCTGCCATTGAGACTCGCACGCCCTCAAGTGAAAATCCGCTCTCCAGCCAATTTTCTTCGCTTTTCCTCCGCACATTTTCCCAGTTTCCCAGCTTCCCAGATGACTCGATGCTTATCGATGAGCGCAAATCTCATGTCTCCCACATTTGCATGTGTATATATGCATGCGCCTTAGAAATCATACAAATCGTATGACTGTTTGTTACCCTGGAGATGGAAACTGCACTTTATCGGTTAAATTGCTCAAGTGCAGTTCATTTATGTTTTTCGTGCTCATTTCCGCTTGTTGTGGCCGCTTTCGGCACACAAATCCCACTCAGTATTTTCCGCTCCGCATTAGAATCTGTGAATGTCTCTGAATCTCAGTCACTCGAGGCGATTGTGCAAGTGACCTTGGTCAGGGGATGGGGCCACCCATGCGCCCATTTCATAAACGAGCCAGCTCTCCTGAGCTCGCTCATGTCAATTAATATAACTCAATTTGATGTCGGGCAGGGTGATTCGACTGCTACCCTATGCCAGTGGCTATGAGTCTTTAACGGGCTCGAATTTTAACGATTAAATGTGGAAAATAGTGCATGAGTAGCGAGAAAGGGCTCGAACTTTAACGATTAAATGTGGAAAATAGTACACGAGTATTAATGGAGAAATATAAACAATTTTCACTATTTTCGTGTGGGGAGTGTGTTCAAAGTTCGTCAACTTAGCTGGCCACTAAATTGATTGTGTATTTACGTATTCCGTTTGGTGTGATATGATATGTGGATGGACTGTTTGTGTTTTGCGATGTGAATCACGACGAAAATGCATTTAATTTGGGTGGCTCGCAGTTCCATTTGCACTCGGATTTGTGCTGCGATTCATCCGCGTCGTAACTTAATCAATTAGCCTGCCATAGCGATTAAAATAACGAGAAGCGATTCGCCCATAGCCGATAACAAATGCAATTTGAATGATGCTGGCTCTAAGATAGAGATGGAAAATCGAATGCACAGTGGTAGGGGCCCAACCTCCACTGCATTTCAAATCCAAAGGTAATGCCACTCATAAAAGCTCGGCACATCACACGAATGGAAAGCTTACCGTTACCCAGTAACCGTCACCTTGCCTGGTGAATATATATTTAGTATATCCCTGGAGGTCAGTGAGTCACACTGTGTTCTCACCCCTTAGCACCCCCAACGAAAATTAGTATATTGTAACGAAGAAGTGTGGCTCACGCATTCAAAATCGCCACTCAACTGAACTTCACGAGTGCGACAGACCCCAAAAATCCACAGTAATTGAGACGACACTATATATATATATGGCATATTCATTTATGGGAAATAAAAAAATAAATAAATTTGTCTTAAAGTGCCTAATCCTGCCCTATAAACACAGACAGCCAATCTGCTCCTAAACATGTGTAAATTCATTAAAGTATCCAATACACTTATTGATCACTCCCGCCCCACTGTGCCATGTGTTGCTCCTACCCCTCTCTCTCTCTCGCTCTCCCTCTCTCTCTCTCTCGCGCGCGCTCCCAATTGTTGTTTTATTCGCCGAGTGTGGCGATGGGAGAATTCTGAGTGTTTGCGAGCAGTGTTGTTTGTATTACTTCAGTGGCATTCAGTGCGTGCTGGCGAGCGCAATATGAATTAGTCAGCGGCGCTGTGCTAAGTTCGCTATATCGGCTGTATTCCGGGTGTATTTGCTGGATTCAGAGGCATCTTTCCGGCTGGAGAGTCCGGACCCACTGGAAATCTATCTGTATCTGCCACGATGTCGCTCACGGGAACCCAGGACTACGATCGCAAGTACCTGCTCAGCATGCCGGGCCTGTGCAAGCTGGCCTGTTTGGTAATTGGCCTTACACATATGTGCCGTTGTGTATCCCCTAATGCATGTGTGTGTGTATGTACGCGTTTCAGCTGTGCAGCTTTGTTGGAATGCTGTGCATCATCTGCGGACCGGTGCGCGTGAGCAACTTCCGCGGCAGCTTCTACCTGGCGGTGGTCTCCATCGGATTCGTGGCCACCGGCTGCCTGCTCCTGGCCAGGTACCTCCGCCTGTGGCAGCGCCAGTTCTGCCGCTGCGATCCCACGCTCTGGTCCCTGGCGGTGCACTCCTCATTGGCCCTGGCCTACTTCACTGCCTCCGGACTCGTCCTCTCCCTGGACATTGGCGCCTACACGGCGGCGGCGGTGAGTTGCGTTCGGAAACCACTATCATGAGGGCTCAGTGTTCTAACAATTGGCTAACAATTGAACAAGGAAAGATACTGGTATCTGTGAGATATCTCCCAAATGCATGTTGTGGTTAGCTGGAACACTGCGCCTCCAGCTGGAGCCGCTCTAAGCGCTCACCATTCTCGCTGATTCAGTCTGATTCATGCAGTCGCTGCGCTGAACTTCTGTAGACCCGTCTAATACCCCCTATTCTCTGTCCACCTTCCAGTTCTTCGGGCTGACTGCATTCTGCATTAACGGACTGGAGGCCTATGGAAACTACAGGCGCAGTCGCCAGCGGGAGGTGGCCACCCAAACGATTTAGACTTGGCTCGAACCCAGCTTTTGGTGGCTCTTACTACTTTAGGCTTACTGTGTGTGTTTGTGAGAGAGCGAGTATCTGTGTGCGGACGCGTATCTGTGAGCGCGTGTGCGTGTGTGTTGTGTGCGAGTTTGAGAGAGCGAATATCGCTTGCGTTTGCTGGGAGCATTTAAGTCTGAAGTTGGAATTGTGGCAAGCTTTTGTCGCGGGAACAGTTACCGTATGTGTTATCTAATAGTCGCTAGATATAGGTCGCGAAGGGAAGAAGATAAAGCCAGTCGATCGGAGCAATAACCTAGATATAATAGCGAGCAGAGGGCGAGAGAAGCTACTAACAAGAGAGCGAATTCCAAAGATATAGTTCTATTGTGCCTTCTGGCTCTGCTTCTTCCCTTCTTCTGATAACTGGCTAACAAAGCGTGCATATGTATACATACATACAGCATATATGTATATAATATATATACATATATATCTGTACAGATTTTTTTTTACCTTTATTAAGTAAATTATATTTGTGTGTCACAATTTAATATTAACTGAAGTAGTTAGTTTAATATCGATCCGCACAATGCTTTTCATGACCACTGAACTGTTGTATTTATAAACTTATCAATGTTTTGTATTGGAAAAATAAAACATACATAATGAGTAAATGCCATGAGTAATTGGTATTTTAATGACGACAGTGCATATGATTAAGTGAATTTGAATAGCAATTGTTTAATAAAGAGCTGATCGTGCAAACGAATATTCTCAAAAGGTACGAGTATATTGATTCATTCACTCTAAAGACCACTTTATTTATTATTTTACTACACGGAACTACCATGTGACCATGTTTGCTTGCCCAAAAAGCTATGTTCACCAAACATTGCCGGCTAGATGAAAAAGATATCGCCAACCTGCACACCTTTGTTTACCTCATCCGCATTGAAACTGAAAATAAACAGGTACACTATGGGTGCCCCCCTGTCTGCTTCTGTTTTCATTCGGTTTCGGTGCTCTGTAAGCTGTTGCCATTGTTGGCTTTTCAAATCTTTTGAGCCACCCACCACCCAAGGCCCACAAAAAAGCACTTGGCTCGTCTATTGTTGCTGTTGTTTTGGGGGCTCCTGCCTCATTATTATTACTTTTGTTGCCAGTTTGATGAAGTTTTCGCCTCGATTCTTGTCTATTTCTGGCGCGATTTATTCATAGTTAGTTGTTCGCCGAGTGTTAGCAAATTTTCAGCCAAGTACGCCTAACAACGTAATGAAGAGCGCAATATATTCATGTGTTTTATGCCGCTAAACGAATGCCGCTGACGAAAAAAAACGTAATAAATGTTTATAAATGGAGCCGCATTGCAGGCATGGCATAACAGGGTTTTCCCATGCTTTGCAAGTGCAGTAGGCAACCCTGAAAAGTGCTGCGAGTTGCCATGCCGCTCAAGGGCTCGTGTGTTTATTGGCTATTTGAGCAGAGAAAACCATGTCCTTTTCCATACGAGCTTCATTTAATTGATATATTTATGTGGTCTTGGCGCTGGTGTAAGTAGATAATTTTTTTGCGGTGCTTCCTCGCCCTCTTAGCCAAATGATCATTTAATTATTTCTCCGTCGGCAGCCTCTTAGCACTTCCCATACCTAATGTGCCATAATTTCTGCCCCACCATCGAGGCTCTCGGCCATGCAAGTCACGTAAAGTGAAATTAATTAGTCTTGTTTGCCAGTTAGTCAGCCTCCACTCGGGATGGCAAGGCGGTAAGTGGAAAAGTGGAAAGGCGGAAAGGCGGAAAAGCGGAAAAGCGGGGCAAGGGGTCAATCCTTGAGTGATTGAAATGCAATCGTGTGGACCGAGTTCATATAGAATTTGTGGAAATGTCGAGGGTCCGCACTTCCTGCCAGCAAATGATTTATGCAGCCGGCAATTTGGAAGTCGGCTAGCTTAAAACATTTTCTTTTACCATTCTTTAGATCGTGGTTCGCAGTTCAATTGGAAAAAGTGCCATGGCAACGCTAGCTGTTCTGGCTAATTCCCTTCTGGCCTAATTAGCTGCGGACATATCTGCGATAAAACATCAATGGATGGCAAGTGAGTAAAGTTCCGCATAAAGGCCGTAATAACCACAGGGTCTGGCTCAAATGATAACTGTTACCCAAATTACAAATTGTAATTGAGTGGAATGGGGGCGCACCGTCCTTAATTAATGAAATCATACTCAAATCAAACGCGCATTTAATCAAAGTCAAGTCGCCGTTCCTTGTGCAATTTATCTGGCTTGGTCCTGCACTTGGCAAAATTAATGTGGTTAATATGGCCAAAATTCCGTAATCGGACAGCAAAAGTGAACCAACTTTTTTAACAATACGATATATTCTACTGTAGTTTTTTGGTTCTTGAGCTCGATTTCACTTTCAGCAATCAAATTCCTGTGTACTATGCCTGAACTATAATTAATGTAAAACGATTTAAATATTTTTATATACTTTGGTTGGGGCAAAAAAACATTGTCTTAAAGAGGATATTTTTTAATTTGTTACGCTTTTTTTGGGCTCTTTTGTGGCATTGCCGTCCCAGCCAATCCATTCCACTCAGGCCAAACACTGCGGTGGCCAAATGACGCGCTGAAATGCGGGCCTAGCACCCATTCTCACCCCCTTGACCCGCTTTTGGCCAACTTTCGAGTCTCCCTTTGCCTGACCGCTTTTACCACAGCTATGCAAACGCTTTGGGATGCTAATGCGGCCAAAATAAATGATGGCATGAAGGCATCTTCGGCCGTTTTCTTGCCGCCTTCATCTTTCATCGGCTGTTGCTTTATTCTGTTTTTGTATTCTGCTCTTCGTTTCTGGCATTACTTTTAATTTTCAGCATTTTCAGCGTCCGCATTTTATCTCTGGAAGCCGGTAATTGTCCTCCTTGCCTTTAAAGCACCAAATACCTCAATTTGTTGATATTTTCGCCAATTTGTTTTAATTGCTTCATCAAAATTTTCGAAAAATGGCAAAAAATTAAAATCTCCTGGGTTGAATGCAGGTCGAAATGGAATTTTGTTACGAATTCAACGATGTATGACAATCTAGTTTTAAACAACTACTTTTATTGCTATCGAAAAAAAAGTGATTATTTTTACCAAAAAAGCTGAAAATTAAGAGTGTTAAATTTTTGCATTATTTCTGATTATTTTTATTCAAAAAAAATATACAATTTTTTTTTTTTCAAAAATGTGATATTTTCAAACGGAAATTTCGCCATAACTTGGCCAAAAAAGGAGACACAGTTAAAATGAAGACTGTTTTGTGTTGCTAATAAACAATGCTAACTATGCTCATCCCTACTTTTATGATTTTCGAAAAAATAAATTTTAACAAATTTTCACATTTTCGATAAGGGGTACCCCCATCAAAATTTGTGAAAAATTGAAACCTCCTAAAACATACGGCTTTGAACACATGTGGATAGGGAATTTTGTTACAAATTCAACGAGGTATGGCATTTTACTCTTGGACAACTATTTTTATTGCTATCGAAAAAAAACTGATTATTTTTATTCAAAAAAAATATACAATTTTTTTTTTTCAAAAATGTGATATTTTCAAACGGAAATTTCGCCATAACTTGGCCAAAAAATGAGACACGGTTAAAATGAAGACTGTTTTGTGTTGCTAATAAACAATGCTAACTATGCTCATCCCTACTTTTATGATTTTCGAAAAAATAAATTTTAACAAATTTTCACATTTTCGATAAGGGGTACCCCCATCAAAATTTGTGAAAAATTGAAACCTCCTAAAACATACGGCTTTGAACACATGTGGATAGGGAATTTTGTTACAAATTCAACGAGGTATGGCATTTTACTCTTGGACAACTATTTTTATTGCTATCGAAAAAAAACTGATTATTTTTATTCAAAAAAAATATACAATTTTTTTTTTCAAAAATGTGATATTTTCAAACGGAAATTTCGCCATAACTTGGCCAAAAAATGAGACACGGTTAAAATGAAGACTGTTTTGTGTTGCTAATAAACAATGCTAACTATGCTCATCCCTACTTTTATGATTTTCGAAAAAATAAATTTTAACAAATTTTCACATTTTCGATAAGGGGTACCCCCATCAAAATTTGTGAAAAATTGAAACCTCCTAAAACATACGGCTTTGAACACATGTGGATAGGGAATTTTGTTACAAATTCAACGAGGTATGGCATTTTACTCTTGGACAACTATTTTTATTGCTATCGAAAAAAAACTGATTATTTTTATTCAAAAAAAATATACAATTTTTTTTTTTCAAAAATGTGATATTTTCAAACGGAAATTTCGCCATAACTTGGCCAAAAAATGAGACACGGTTAAAATGAAGACTGTTTTGTGTTGCTAATAAACAATGCTAACTATGCTCATCCCTACTTTTATGATTTTCGAAAAAATAAATTTTAACAAATTTTCACATTTTCGATAAGGGGTACCCCCATCAAAATTTGTGAAAAATTGAAACCTCCTAAAACATCCGGCTTTGAACACATGTGGATAGGGAATTTTGTTACAAATTCAACGAGGTATGGCATTTTACTCTTGGACAACTATTTTTATTGCTATCGAAAAAAAACTGATTATTTTTATTCAAAAAAAATATACAATTTTTTTTTTTTCAAAAATGTGATATTTTCAAACGGAAATTTCGCCATAACTTGGTCAAAAAATGAGACACGGTTAAAATGAAGACTGTTTTGTGTTGCTAATAAACAATGCTAACTATGCTCATCCCTACTTTTATGATTTTCGAAAAAATAAATTTTAACAAATTTTCACATTTTCGATAAGGGGTACCCCCATCAAAATTTGTGAAAAATTGAAACCTCCTAAAACATCTGGCTTTGAACACATGTGGATAGGGAATTTTGTTACAAATTCAACGAGGTATGGCATTTTACTCTTGGACAGCTATTTTTATTGCTATCGAAAAAAAACTGATTATTTTTATTCAAAAAAAATATACAATTTTTTTTTTTCAAAAATGTGATATTTTCAAACGGAAATTTCGCCATAACTTGGTCAAAAAATGAGACACGGTTAAAATGAAGACTGTTTTGTGTTGCTAATAAACAATGCTAACTATGCTCATCCCTACTTTTATGATTTTCGAAAAAATAAATTTTAACAAATTTTCACATTTTCGATAAGGGGTACCCCCATCAAAATTTGTGAAAAATTGAAACCTCCTAAAACATCCGGCTTTGAACACATGTGGATAGGGAATTTTGTTACAAATTCAACGAGGTATGGCATTTTACTCTTGGACAACTATTTTTATTGCTATCGAAAAAAAACTGATTATTTTTATTCAAAAAAAATATACAATTTTTTTTTTTCAAAAATGTGATATTTTCAAACGGAAATTTCGCCATAACTTGGTCAAAAAATGAGACACGGTTAAAATGAAGACTGTTTTGTGTTGCTAATAAACAATGCTAACTATGCTCATCCCTACTTTTATGATTTTCGAAAAAATAAATTTTAACAAATTTTCACATTTTCGATAAGGGGTACCCCCATCAAAATTTGTGAAAAATTGAAACCTCCTAAAACATCTGGCTTTGAACACATGTGGATAGGGAATTTTGTTACAAATTCAACGAGGTATGGCATTTTACTCTTGGACAGCTATTTTTATTGCTATCGAAAAAAAACTGATTATTTTTATTCAAAAAAAATATACAATTTTTTTTTTTCAAAAATGTGATATTTTCAAACGGAAATTTCGCCATAACTTGGTCA